GATTAATTTTTTGAATTTCTGATGAATTGGGTTATGATTTGATACATTGTAATGGTTTTCATATGAAGACAATGATGAACGGTTGTGGCCAACCTATGTACGGCTCAAATGTGTTACAAAAAATCTTAAAAAGCATAGTTCTGGGTTGTCTACACTCCCGGAAGGCAAACGGCTCCCGGATATCACCAAATCCGGCGTGGTGCTACGTTAATGTCGTCCTGGTGCCAAATTTTCAATAATTTTTCCGCTTTGTACCTTAATTAATTTGGACTGAATAAGATCATATTGGATATATCTCTGAACAGAGCTCAAAATAAACTCAGTTGAAGTGGACTTAAGTTGACATTACTCGTCTCAAAGTTAATTAAAAAGGATTTGCTCGACTCAACTTTGAGTTCTGATGCCCCAGATCCTCTCAGACTAGATACCTTCAATGGCGTGGTACTGATGAAATGATCAAAAATGATCAAAAAATGATCAAAATTGGTCAAAAATGATCAAAGTGTAATTCTTCAGTTCCACACCCTTGAATACCTTTACCTTAAAAATCAAAAAAAAAATCAATCAATCGTTCTTAATCATTTCCTTAGTTTAAACCATGGAACGTCAAAATTCCCACCTTACAAAATGAACACTACAACATAAAATCTCAAGTTATAAAAAAATTATTTATCTTTTTGTCGTCGCTATCATTCCACGTGTTCACATTAGTAAATATTTGCCGGAATTCTTCCTCTTCTTTTTCCATTTTATGTATTTATCCTTCCTCTTTGTGCTCTTGGTAGAAATACAAAAAAAAATCAATGCTACTCAAACACACACAAAAAAAAGAGCACTTGACTTTTTGCTGTAAAGAATTCTTGAACAACTTTGTTGTCAACAGTGTCTGAATGACTGTGGGATTTGTGGCTCTTCTGGGGATTTTTTTTTTTTGAGTAGATTTTTAAGCAGATTTTGTGGATATTTTTAAAATTCAATAGAATTTCACAATTTTTAGGTTACTAAGTTGTTCCTTTAAATTCATAAGAACTGTAGATTCTCGAAAATTCTAGAAAATCCTCAAAAAAATTCACAAAACTAAATCGCACCTCCCAGAACAATTTCATAATGAATTCATTCATATCATAAATGTCAAATTACAAAAGCATATACAGCACAATATCGATTATATTTTATATGCAGTTAGAATATTTATTTTTCAAGGTATTCAACAAGTATTGAATAACGCGAACATGTTTATTTCACACAAAATATAGTCTATGCATCATTTATGCATAATATGAATAAATAAAATACAACAAAAAAAACGTAAAAAGTAATCGCTTACGTGTGCATGAATAGATTTGTGGCAGTGAAAGAAGAGAAGAAAAGAAGTTTATTGACATTTTTTTTTTTTTTCTTTTGAAGACAATATAACTCAAGTGAGCGAGAATGCATAGCGAATAATTTTTGTAATGTGAGCAAAAATTCCTTTTTTGGATGCAAATCATGTCAACAATAAATTCTAGTTTATATTGGCATGTCTAAATATCTATTTTTTTATTTTTATTCTATCGAAGTCGTGAAAATTATTCTTCATTTTTCAAGGTAAAGGTAGTTGCTGATTTATTGAATTAAAAAAGTTTGTTGAGGTTCCCGAGTTGAATGACATCGATCATTGGAACTGAAGTCATGGTCAGTATGACTCCAGACAAATTTGTTGGTTAAGCTATGTCCTAAGGATCATCTCTAGTGTCGTTCAAAATCTAGGTTTGGTACATTTGCCCACTGGACACTTGCCCGCGGACACTTTCCCAATGACACTTCCCCAATGACACTTCCCCAATGACACTTCCCCACTTGGATATTTGCCCACTGGACACTTCCTTACTTAAACACTTCGCCACTTGGATATTGTTTAAGTCTGGTCCATATCTTAATTGTTATTCTTACTTACTATTTCGCTGGTCATACAGATCAATTGTGATCCATGACCTCCCTCAGATGCCGCTGGAAGCTTGTTACCGCTTGCCAATTTCCAATACCAAATGAATTTTAAGTCAGCGTCTACAAAACAGTATCTCAACCAAATTCTAGCCAATATTACCCAGGGACGTAGCCAGGGGGGGCCATAGGGGGCCCGGGCCCCCCTCCGAAAATCTGATAATTGTTTTATTAAGTATTTATAGAGAAGAACCAGTTAATGTAGAGGAAGTGATGAAAGAAATCTTAAAATCAGCACGAAAAATTAAATTTAATGTATGAATAATGAATTAAATATTTAAACTTATGAAGAATAAATATAGATTTAAGGATACAAGATAACGGTTTTTTAATTTTCGAAAATGGGCCCCCCCCCCCTTAAAAATTTTCTGGCTACGCCCCTGATAGTATCCATTTCAAGACACTCAAGTACAACCCGGGATTTGAAATTTCAAAAAAGAAAACAGCAAACTGTGACTATTTACTTTCAATTCCTCTTTAGCAGCGAATATTCAGCAGATAATAAGAAGTCAAAAGGTTCTTCCATTTATTTGCAAAGTAATATATTTAAAAGTGGGATCATCTAAGCAGCATCATCTCTTCAGCTTATGTCTTTTATGTACTTTAATATCTTCTTACTATGGCGGTGTAAGACTGTCAAGAAGCTAGGTGGCAGGGGGAGGTAATTTGAGTTTTGAGCATGTTTTAAGTGTTTTTGAACTGCACTAGACGTTTAGGGGATATGGATTGACTGAGTTGTAGCCGTAGGGTGTATAATGTGAAGCAAGTCTCCTCAGCAATGAAAATTACACTGACTTCTTTCTGGGAGCCTTAAGTTTACTGAATTCTAAAGACTTAAGGCTCCAAGGGGTACTCTCCTACATAGCTAATTTTGAATTGAGGGAAGGTTATTATTTGAAGACATTTTCAAAACCTTCATTAAACCCAACAGCTCACCAAACCTTGCAAAAACTTCTCTTCTATTTTTCCTTTCTATCCCATTTTTTTGTACCTTAATAATCTTTGAATGAATATCTCAATGCAATAAATAATGATAAAAGTAGTGAATACTAAATGCACTTACAAATACACACATATGTCTGCGACTTCATACGTGAGTAATTTATGTAGGCAGTAAACTGCTTGATTCCCCCTTTCTTCATGCTTCGTTTAAATCTTTCAACTTTTAATTTCAATCTTCCATGAACTTTTGATCATTTGATTGAATTAAATACTACCATTTGTGGCTGGTGCAGGTATGAAAAATTATAATTGCAGAGATTCAAGTGAAGTCATGTCGTGGCGTGATGCATTTATAATGCAATGGATAATAATGAAAGTATTACAAAATATGTTAAATGGTGTGACGGAGAATCAAGTCGTCGATGCTATTGAGAGCAACCTGGAGAAGATATTGAAGTGTCGTGTCTTGAAATGAGGACAGTGATTTGATGTGATATATTTAGAATGTGAACGAAGAGCTCATGGAATAGCTTTGAACATAGGCATTTATGAATATCGATGTGCTGCAAATTAAGATCTAGCAAAAAGAGGCTACTAACGAATTCTAAGCATATCAATTGGTACTCTAATCATAAAGTCGGCTAATGTTGTGCATGAATTAGTCGACTCTACTACACATATCCAAGCGAAAAGTCAATTTTGCGTTGTGCTTACCCACGAGTATAAGTTAATAAATAAGAATAAAAAACAGCATTCCCAGAAACAAAGGAAAATCTTAGTCGAAATCTAACGTTTTGTTTTCTATTTAATTAACACTTCTACCTATTAATTACCGATACCAGATTAAATCAGTTTACAAATTACCAGTTATTTTTATATGCAAAACGAATAAAATCGTGAAAAATAATATTAAGCAAATGATTTAAATGATCAGAAGAGCAGTCAGGGTGATTGTTGAGTTTATATCAGAGTTAAAAGATGTCACAAAACAAAATTTTATCGATTTTTAGTTCAAGTCTCATAGGAACGAAAATTCTAGAAACCCTGATTATTTATATCTTTTGAAAAAAATATTAACTATCCAGCCCTGCTAATTTTTAATAACCAAATTACATCAAGTTGAAAACTGCAAGTCATAAACGTCTCAATATGGAAAAATTGTCTATTATTCTAAACTACACTATTAAATAACCGGAAAGAAAAAAAATATGAAAATCAATGAGATCTCTATAATACAGTTCAATTACTTCTATATGTGCTTTATCATTACTTCAAATTAGACTTATTAACACTCACACAACTTTAGTTCCCAGTCGTGAGCATTAGGCTGACTAGACTTTTGAATTTTTATGGATTTTAAAGGTTAAATATTTCCTAGGTACACGAAATGATTCAAAAGTTGGTTAATCGAATAGAAACTGGCATCAAGCCATCGTGACTTTGGCGTGATGCTGGACTTAAATCAAATCCAGCTTGGTGCCAGATTTATATTCAATGATTTGATTTGTGGTATACGGGATGTTGCGATCATGATTCTGAAACCTAAGCCTATGAAAACCAAAGCAGATACACGAATATCATGTAGATCTCCCTATTATTGCTTTATGTGTAGCTATACTAATGTAAAACAAGTCGGGTTCAATAGGAATAGAACCCACGACCTCAAAAGAGGAGATCTTTGACCACTCGATTAGAGATGCCTACAACTCGGTCACCGAGGTTCTTATCTCACTTCGGCTATCAGTCAAACACATATAACTAGTTTCAACGCGAGCTCTATGCTCAGACCTATCTAATTTGATTTAAATCAAAGTCAGCATCATGCCAAAGCCATGCTGTTTTAGTGCTAGATTTCTGATCAATTAATTGACTTGTGCTATTCGCGTTAGTCATCCTAAAAAGTCTGAGTTTCTCCCCATTTACTTTCTTAGTAATATTAGAATTACACATTCGATTCTTAGAATAATAAATTATTTCACGATCTTTCTCACAGCAAGTACTAATTTTATTCACAAACACAACCAGTAATTTAGAAGTTTTTGTGCTTTTATAATTTATTTGTTGCACATTTTCAAAATAAGCTCTCAGTCCGCTTTCGTCACTTGAGTTATCCAGTAACATAAACTTTAAAAAAATGTCTGAATTGACTTCTTTTTTCACAGAAAAAGCTAAAATAAATTTTGGCGAGGATGAAAGTCGTAAAAATCAGTCATTGGCGCAATTTAGGGAGTGGATTTGTAAACATCCGTTTATTAAAAGATGCAATCCTAGTAAGATAAATATTTATTAACAAAAAAATGTTAAACAAAAAAAAAATTTGATATTTTTTTAAAGCCGATGCTCATCTCCTCGCACACCTCCGTTGCTGCAAATACTCAATGTCCAACGCCTTCGAACAATTTGAAAAATGTCTGTTGTTTATCAAAACACATGAAGATTGGTTCAAATTATCAGCTGAGGATTACGAGCGAGCATTGCAACTTTATGAATCTGGATTTATCAAAATATTAAAGAAGAGGGACTCTGAGGGACGCAGAAATGCCGTTTTTACGAGTAGTCTTGGCGACCCAAATAAATTTAATGGCGATGATGTAATGAACCTGCAATGCATTTTATTTCCAATTTTAATCAACGAAGAGGAAACTCAAATTTGCGGGATGAACTACATTAATAGCTGCAAAAACACAACAGTTAGCCATTTATCATTATTATCCATGAAAAAAACATTCGATGCGTTGACTAACCTCAAAGTTTTCCCGCTGAGTGTCAAAAATATTTTCATCATTGGCGTGCCACAATTTGCTACACAAGCGTTAAACATGTTGAAATATGTACTCACTGATAAAATGAGGAAGAGATTTCATGTTTTTAATGAAGTATCGGATTTATCAGATGAAAATGTTAAAGCTGCTTTGAGTGACGATTGTGGAAGTAAGGAAGTTGAGAATATTCGTGAATTGGTGAAGAAACATTCGGAAATGTTGAGTAGTTTTCTGGATTTTGAACTTGATATGGATAAAGCTAGTGAAAGTAAAAATGTGAAGAGTTTTGAGAATGTTGGAAGCTTTAGGAAGCTTGAGATTGATTAAGAATTGTGTGATGATTCTTAAATATTTATGGATAAGCTAATGATAAAAAAACTATGTGAAAATGGTAATAAGCTATTCAAAAAATGAAAAACTTCAAAAATAATTTGAAAAAAATTCAAAATTTTCATTAATTTCTAGAATCTGGTTAAAACCTAACCTAACAAACCGATTAAAAACTTCAAATGCAAATATCATTTCCGTATATGATTCTATGACGTCAAAAACCTGTTTAATCGAATCAATCTATTATTAATTACATACTTTTTGTTGATAGATATTAATACAAATGAAAAATTGTGCAATAAAGCTGTGTCAAGTTGATTAACGGAATTAACCTTTAGCACTTGATTGAAAAATAATTGGTGTGTTGAGAGGAGTTGTAGAGTAATTTAAACTTGATTATGAGCATTCGAATGCAAATCAATGATTTATTAAAACTTAAAATTTAAAATGTTAATTGCAATAGTTTTCAAGTGCAAAAAGTGAAATGATTTATGTTGTAATATATTAATAATTGTTGGAATTGTAATTTAGAATAGTATATTGAAGTTTGTTAATGATTAAAGCTGATTTAAATATTAAAATATCGAATTGTTATTGTTTTATGACTCTAAAGACTTATAAGACTGATCGTAAGTTCTGATCAGATAATCCCGAAAAGCACAAGTTGGTTAATCAAATAAAAACGGTCACCAAGCCAGCATGACTCATGGTGCTTGTTTCAATCTAAATCGAGCACCATCCAAAGGCCTTATTTTTGATCGATTAACCCAGTGTTGTCCAAACTTTTTCCAGCCACGTCACACTTTGACTTTAGATATTTTTTCACGGCACACTTAAGGACGTCTTACGGTACACACTTTGAACAACACTGGATTAACCGAATTCTACCTTTCGAGAATATTTCATTAAAATAATCTAATCATTGCTAGAACTAAACCTCAATGTTGACTAAACTCAACTTACTTCATATAAAATCCGAACGAACTACAAACTCTAAATTGAATCCCAAATCATTCCATAAACCTTTAAAATAGATCAAACAGTTAATTTAAAACAGAGCTCGAAGTCGATAGGGCGATTCGAAATGAAAAATGAAATTCGATGTCGACTTCGAGCTCTGATTTAAACCTTTCACAAAAAATCCAGAAACTCTTCAAAAGCCTTTAATTGATCTCCCCAAAACTTATTCATCGATTTCTCAAAACAAAGCAGAAAAAACCGCTTCATTCATCTGCATTCAATGACTTATTTAAAGTTTTTGATTGCCAATGCTCTTATAAAGATAAATGATTCAAAAAGAACCAATGACATGAATTGATTTGCTTCTTTTTTTCACATTTCATTTGATTTATTGTTCATTTTACGGTACAATAATAATATACAAATGCTCAAATCTCTCCATAATTGGAGCTGACTCTTGAACTAAAAAAAATACGCTACATTGAGGAATCAAATTTCCAAAATTACGCAACAACAGCAACAACAAAGTGAAGAAGTATCGATGAATAAAGAGTCAGAAACTGCTCAATTATCACAATTTACAATCATAATGAGTTCCCCACACATCACGCACAATTGTCAACAATTTTGGGTATTGAACTTATATATTACGAATTTGGCGCCTTTTGTACAATTTATTGGATCATCAATTTAGAGTTATGGGATCAAAGACTTTTATGTGCCGACGATTCAAGGCTGTTTCAAAGTTTAGACAAGATTTTTATCGATTTTCTGCTTAAATAGTAAACTAAATAATTATCAATGACTAGCTCTTGTATCGACATTTTACAAATGTACGCAATTAATGTAAAAATGTTCAATTTCCGCTCAAGTCTCAATAAATTCTGTTTGCCTATCTAAATTGAAATATTTCTACCAGTTTTACTCCTCAAAAGCAGTTGCAAATGTGATGTTATTAATAAATTGAGCAGGATGGAATTACTGTTATTATGCTAATTTGCAAATTGTATATACAATGAAACACGACGCACTTCAGTTCATGATTTCTTTTGATATTTTCTTCCATCTCGTGAGGATTGTAAATTGTTCAGTTAGCAACTGAGGGGTTTGGACTCTTTGGATAGCTTGATGCAGAATTTCGAGGATCAAGGCTCTTAAATTCATAGAATTTGAACCTCCTGACGGGTTCTGATCACCAAAAACCTCCGAACCATAGCATCAACCACTTTTGGGGAGTCTCAGATAATTTCACTCGCATGTTCATGATAAATTTCATGAGCAGCCGATCAACACACGTTAGTCATTGTTACTTCTTTCACAATAACACAAAAATCTACTCGAAAAACATTCTTTCCATTCTTATTCTCATTGAAATGATGTTCTTATCGCATCGTTGAATTTTTTCAGCATGCACTTCTCTTCCTCCTTCTGGCCTTGCTTGCATAAGCAACTTAATGACCATTAAGATAATACGCGGATGGCTACTTACACGGTGCAAAAGTAAAGTAAGGCAACAAGTGGAGATTTATGCAATAAAGAAGAAGCATATAGAGGAATAAAAGCGCACGAATGATGCCATGCAAAGCAGTAATAAGTTATTGTTCTATTTTTTTTAGCCGGTTGATGTAATAACTGTAATTGAAGTTCACAAACAAAAAAAAAATATATTAAATTAAATTTTCATGACTAAAGAGATATGATCAGAATGAATGAGAAGGAAGAAGTCAGGGATTTATGGTGCTTGGCTTTTTGGGTTGCATAATTTAATTTATAATTCTTGACTGGAATGTTTTTAAGGTAGCCGCTTGAGGCAGAGTTTTGATTGTGTGTCTAATAGAGCAATGACAGCACTGAGACTGATCTTTTGCAGAAATTCAAATCCAGAAGTTGAAATGTTGATGTTTTATAGGTTTATGGAGTGACATTGATGGCAGTCAGGCAAGGTTTCAATCTAATAAGGTATGGTTCGCTTGTAGGTCATGCATAATCATCAAATAAGCTAGGAACAGCTTATCTAATAGTCCTGAAGTCTAGAAAGTCATAAAGACGCATTAAATAGTCTCTACACTCCTTAAATCACCGCTAGCCTTCAATTTCAAAGCTCCAGCTCTTCAAATCCATAAAACCATGAGATCAAATCTTCTTTAAGCTGATAAACCTCAAAGCATTTAGTCTACCTTCATTTCGCTCACTTATTCAATTAATTCTCATCCATTTAAAACACTCTCGAGAGATGATTATAGACCAGTCATCAGCAACAACTTTTCAATCAATATTGAATATTATTTTCAATTCCTCCTCGCAACTATGCAATTAATCTGACTTCATGTTTTTCATATTTATGATTATGAACACTGAAAAGCTATTAAAACTCATATCAAGTTAAGTCTGAAATACTCGGAAATTGAACGATAAGTTTTCAATTATTATTTTTAAGTTTAGATGACCTCAGCACTTGCTAGTAATGTGGAAATTATTAATCATCATTGCTTTAAATTTTTTCCATTAATTTTAATTACCGATTGTCGAAATATTAAACAAATAAGATGTCACATACTCTGAAAATCTCTTTAGTAGCTGATTATTTAAAAAACAAAACGACAAATCAATTTTTCATGTGTGATGACTTAATACGTTGAGCGTCCAAAATAGACAGCATGATGACATGTACAATAGTATGTCATTTTTCATAGTTACGGCTACTGATTTATCGTGTACATTGTTGAGACTTAAGACAATCAATGCTACAGCTACAGTTAACATTGATACTGTATATCCCACGCAATTTATGTCATATCATTTTAAGCTTTATTCGCAAACATAATCAAGATTGATATAGAATGAAGTTCAATGAATTCTCGAAAATCTTATTTATAAAATAAAAATACAGGCATAAAAAAAATCGTGTGGCGAGCACGTATGGCAACAGAAAAGAAAAGAAATTAAAAATTTAAATTTTTCTCGTGCTGACTCACTCAATAAGATTTTTATGTCTGTAAGATCCCCAGACGCGACGAAGAATCGTAGAGAAACATAACTTTTAATTAACACCATTAGTCGCTTTTTGTTTTCATTCTTTTGAGGTCGTGAGACGATTCTTCATTTTTACTCTTCTTGTATTCGACTTTTTTTTTACTTTTCAACTGGATGGCGATTATATCGGACATGAGTCTTAAGTAAAATTTAATGACTAGCGAATGTGTTTTGCCTCTCCTTTTACTCACTCCTCGGCATCGTTTGGCGTATATATTTTTTGATTGAATAAACATGGCAGATAATTTGCTAATTTTAATCTCATGCTAATTTCAATTTTTATTTTTTCTTTCTTTCTCTTTTATTACAAATTGTGTGTGTGGCATGAAAAGCTGAGAAAATAAATTTTTTTAATTACTAAACTGTTTATGGGGTTGCTTGTAAATGATGACTATTATTCATTTGATTTTTAAAGTTCCTCTGTACTTTGTAACAATGCATTCAATCAAAATTTGTATTTTGTCCAGATGTAATATACCTTTAGACCCACTCCTTACATATCCTCCTCAAATGGATCTTACGATCCCTCAACACAGTGTTTCTCAAAATTTATAGACCATGACACAGAAAACCACTAATTTAGCATTCTTCAATGCCTATCTCAACACACTTAAAGGTTTTTTGATATCAATAAAACAAAAAAGTGTACCGTGAACCATAGTTTGAGAAGGACTGCCTCAGATGAAGGCGTGGAGCCAGGGGGGATTTAGGGGACAAATTATGATTCGTCATCAAAATTTTTTTATTTTACTAGGGTTTTTTATGAAAATTTGTAAAGCCCCCCCATACAAATTTTTTGTCCCCCCTCTTCAAATTCCTGGCCAAGCCCCTGCTCAGATGCGTTCAAATCTATATGATACTAATAAAATAAATATTTGTGGCAGTTGGATGAATTTTCAAAAAATCTAATTTTAACATAAATCATTTATGAACGATTCCCAAAAAATTTCCTTCTTTTTCTTCCTGGATGTAGAAAATTCAACATATGACTAATGTTAAGCTACTGGGGATTTTTGACTTTAAACATTTTATTCTCTCATTCTTGTTATGATTAAATAATATGAAGAAAGTGTATACACTTCGCCTTAGTATTGAAGGATTATGTTTCAAATTAAAAGAGAATATTTGCTTGGCGATGATTCAGTCAAGTTCAAAATGATGATGATGGCTTCCTGTCGAAAGTTAAAATCAGTTTATTTTCAGTAAGATTGTGTGATTAATTTCTTTGAAATTTACTCAATATTTCATTGAATTTTGTTTGAAATGTTAAGAAAAATTGGATGTTTAATGCAGAGCTTTGAGGAAAATGACAAGGATTGTCAGAAATTGAAGATCTTGTAATGATCAGTTAGGAGAAGATTGAAAATGATTTTAAAGTTTTAACTTTCTTAAAATTATGAGTTTGTTTAATTTGCTTTAAATTCAGAAACAGGAAAGTGATTTGTAGTGTCCCATAGCTTCTAGACAACCATAGGAACCACTTAAAGAATTCTTAAGATTCAAAAAACAGGAAAAACATCAAATTTTTATTTGACAGCAAGCTGTGGCCTCAAAGAATCTCAAATAACCTTATTTCCGCTCCTTAAATTAATTTGCATAATTGAAGACAACATCTTTAATCAAACAGATCAAACAACTTTCAACAAACATAAATCTTATAGTCTTAAGACTTAACTAACATGTAATCTTCAATAAAATATGATCCAAATCATTCAAATAAATTTAAACTGTATCTCTTATCAATTTGTTATACACAAAATCTATTCGAATTATACAACAGATTCAAATTTGATTTATATTCATCCTCTACAAAATCACAAGCTCAACAAAAGAAGAAGTCAAAGATGAGTTAACAAAACAAAAAATAAATTCTAGTGAAGCCAAAAGTTTATGGCAAATTTGTTAATTTTCATCTCCTCGCTGCAT